CACATCTCTACAAGAAGAATCTGTGATAATTGAATGTGCAAAGTGAGGATTTGGTACTTTTTTGTGCAAAGTCATTACATGTGAGGTTAGGGAGGAAGACCTGTGGGAGGACAGGAGGAAGATATATATGGAGGCTTCAAACCAACTGGCGCTTTAGTCACCATGAGGACGTCTCAGAAACGCCAAGTGTCCATCCTTCTTCCTAACAAGCAGCACCTGGACTGTAATGTCAGGGTGAGTGCTTAAAAGTCCGTTTGTATGTCTTCGTTATGTGTATTTATTTATTTGAATGCATCAGTTAGAATTTAAATGGATGTATGGAACTCATTATGTGAGTGATGAAGAGCTGTCATTTAAAGTGTGTGCTTGTTTTAAATATGATATGTGATCTTAATAATTTGGAATCTTTTTTTTTTTTTACTGGATGGTAATTCTGACATTCATTTTCAATTGATTCAATCAACAATGGTGAAAAAGTTAAAACACAATAGTAGACAGAAATACTGAAAAAGGGTCGAACGTATAATTGATGCTAACATCGAAAATAAGCAACAAAAGAATAAAAGAAAAAGATCACAAAAGTAAAGACGCCCAATAGTGTCACAACTTTGTATCTGTTTTTTTTTAATTTAAATAAATGTAGAAATTCAACTTTTTTTTGTCTGTTAAATAATTGTTTAGCTGTAAATCTTATACGCAAAGTTCCATATTCATGCCAACAAATTGCGAAATAGAAACCCAACCTTACTGTATAAAATCGTGAGTTTTTAATTTGTGTTATTTCCAGGTGAGAGCCAGAGGCCAGGAGGTGTTGAACAGAGTGTTGAAGCAGCTGGGTGTCAGTGAGCTCCAGGTCCTTAGTCTGGCTGTTCTCAAAGGTCAGCGTCTGTGTGGGAGTGCATAAGAAAATGTTTTGAATTCATTTACTGAGGGATGCCTGAATGTAGGGAGGCTGCTCGTAAATTAAAAAACTCACAGGAGCCCATGAAGTTAAGATAAGTTGATCCATCAATGATTCAAATAAGTGTTTTCTTAATGTTAATTTAATAGGTGTCCTTTTCCTTCAGATAATGAATACCTCTTTGTTGATTTGGACCAAAAGCTTAGCAAATACTTTGGCAAAATATGGAAGAGAGGATCCTTAATGGTGAGTTAAAACTCTTTCTATAGATGTACTTACAGTGTTGCATGTAGCAGTGTGCCTCAGTGAACTCTATCATGTATTGACTTTAATCCAGATGTTCTGTGCAAACTACTCTTTGTCCAAGTATTGTATATGTTTTATCTTAAAACTGAATGTGAATAAGGTAGGCTATGTGCAGTGGTAGAAGAAGTTCTCAGATTTGTTAAGTAAAAGTAGCAATACCGCATTTTAAAAGTAATTTGTTACTAAGTAAAAGTCCTGCATTCCAAAATATTACTTAAAGGTGGGGTAGGTAATTCACTTCAGAAACACCTTTTGTTATATTCCATGGAATGCTCTTAACATCCCGATAGCAATGAATACATTAAATGCTTTGACAATAAATACATTTCCTCTGTGGAAGGTGGTGCTGTAAAAAGCACGACCAATCATCTGAGCTGGCCCGACTAAAATAACTGAAACTGCCTGTCAGCCTTCCATCTCGTGCACAAACTTATCTCGTGCCCTCATTGCTCATGTGCGCGTTCGTGTGTGTTGGAGGAGGGGCTCTGTAAGGAAGTAATCATAATCGTATCTATTAAGATTATTCATGTTTTTTTAACACAACTGGTAAATGTACAGCTAATTTGAATAACTTGATATACTGCTACTTGATATTTTAACCTGTAAATAAACAGTATGTCAAAGTGTATTTAACCATTGATTTTTAGATTGTGTATTAGCTAATAATATAACCTAAAAAGTAACTAAAAGTTGTCAAATAAAATGTAGTGGAGTAGAAGTATAAGTAGCATAAACTGACAATACTCAGGTAATACCTCAAAAAAATAGTCTAGATAGTAGAGGGTTTATGCTTGATTTAAAGTGAGCAATATTTCTCTTTATTTTACTTTTCCAGGTCCCATTCATCTTGTTTCTGAGGGTGCAGTATTATGTAGAGAGTGGGCTGCTGATAATGTAAGCTGATCTCCCATTTGCATCATATTATTTTACCCACGTCTTAACACCATGAATGTTGTTCTTGTTTTAAGTGATGTCCTATTTGGTTGTTTCAGGAGCAGCAAGGTGCAGCAGCTGTACTACGCTGAGCTGAGGCAGAAGGTGCTGCTTTCAAAGAGCCGCCACCAAGAGGCTGTGTTCTTCCAGCTGGCAGCGTCTGCACTGCAGGCTGAGGTCGGAGATCTGGAGGAGAGAGAAGAGGAGGAGGATGAAGAGGAAAACAAAAAATACAGACTTTACTTTCTTCCTGAGGATTACTTTCCCTCATGGGTAAAAAGAAGTGTGACCATTATGTGCTGTTTTATTTTGTGTGGGTGTGTGTAACAACCAACCATAGACTGTATATATAAGTAACAACATATATGTCCTCAGCTGATAAAGCGTTGTGGGCGGGACTTCCTGCTCCAGCACTGCCCGGGGTTACACGCTGAGCTGAGAGGTGTGACACGAGGCCAAGCCATCCTGCAGTTTATAAAAGAGGCCGGGAACCTGCAGGATGGAGCAGTCACCTTCTACAGGATGAGACAGGTCGGAAATGTTTCAAGTGTCATATGTTATTCCTGGTTATTCCCCAAATGATTTATGAAAATGATACAAAGAGATATCCAAAATTCCTCTTTTGACCCTAATGTTTCAACAAAACAAAAAATGTTGAAATTTGCTTTATTCAGATTTGTATCTCAGAAATGTATGTATTAGCAAATATTTAATAAGATATAGCCTTATTTGCACATAGACATTTGAACTTTAATATAAAACAATAGTTGTTTCAATGTAAGATATCAACTGGGAAGTTTCATGCTGATTTCTTTTAATAAATAACTATTGCTTTACACCTGTAGTGTCTTCCCTTAACATATTCTGTCCGGCTTTATGAGATCATTATCTATTTGTTTAAAGTAACTCTGCTTCTTTGTTCATGTGTAGGAGAAAAAGGAGCTGAGAAGTGTAATCCTTCTTGGTGTTGCATCGAAAGGAGTGCATATTTATCAGGTGGGTTTGTGTTGGGAGTTTTTTTTTACTTGAAGTCTTTAAGGTTTTGACTTTGAACAAACCTTCTGGAAGTTTCTTAATGAATGTACTGCTGCCTTTGCATGTATTAACATTGAACACTTTTATTCAGGAGGTGGAAGGGAAGCTGTGCCTGTTGTATGATTTGATCTGGACCCACGTTGACCGCCTTACTTTCCAGGTCGGTTCTAAAGACACACACACGCACGCACGCACGTATTGACATAGACGTGCATGTTGCATGGATGGTTCTGTACCTCTCTGTTCTCAGGGCAGCAGGTTTGAGATCTCTGCAGTGGGCTCTCTGTGCCTCCCTCAGCTGGTGTTTTACACGGCTTCAGCCTGCCACTCCAAACACATCCTGACACACCTCAGAGACAGCCACCGGCTCCACATCAACACCAGAGCTGCAGTCTGCTGCATCCAACAGCTGGAGGACATGCAGGGTCAGAAATCTGAAGGAAAAAAAATCATTATTTCACTTCAATCCATTCACAATTTAATAAATGTTGGTATATTAAGGTCCTTGCAGTGAGAGTAGGTTAAAAGGAGCCTTACAACTTGCCATCAAGATTGATAACATGTGAATAAAGAATTAAATATTAGTTTAGAACAAAAGCACACACTTATTCTTAAGAGGAAGGCGTTAATGTTAAAAATGTATTATTGACTATATTAACTATCGCTGTTTACAAGGACCTTATAAAGGCTTATCTAAATATCCTTTTTAACCATACTGTAGTTTAAATATTTGCAATTAAAAACAATATCATAACACATATATTATGGGACTTTAAAATCTGTTTTTCAGCTGATGACAATCCAAAGGTGTCTCTTTCTTTTTCTCTGTCTCTCTGCAGCAAGTCACTTGTACAAAGAGGCCTACATCTGTGACACAACACGTTTAGCACAAAGACTCCAGACCAACAGCCTCTCATCATCCATGTCCGACTGCAGTGTGGCAATCCAAACAACCACAGCCTGGTCCAAAGAGGAGGAGTGTGAGGAAGAACAAGTCAGAGGTCAGCTGAGAGGAAACATCATTCTGACACACTGCAGCCCTGTGTGGTCTGATGTTAAATACAGTAATAATGCCATGAGTGATATGAATATCGCATAGTTAAATTATTAAAGGAGAATGTTTAAATTAATATTGTTTTGACTTCTATATTTGTCGTGTGTTTTCTGTGAATAAAAAGAATACATTGATCTTCTGTGTTCATGTTGGCAGAGTTTGAGCTGTGTGTGGACAAACCAGAGGAGATATTTGTCGATGAGGTGTTGTGGACGGCTGAGCTGTCAGTCGATGAACCTCTGATTTTCCCCTCCTCTTATTGGACAGGTTAGTCCATGCAAAAATACATTTATTTATCATATATCAATTAATGTGCACTACATAATTGTGCTGTGCTCTTTCATTATCAGCTGTCGCCATGGAAATGAAACAGGTGAGCTGATCTTTCTGGTTACAAATTTCAAGCAAAACCCAACATCAATAATGTCAGTGTTTCCTCTCATATCTGTGCAGGTTCTGAGGAGGAGAACCGATGAAGGGGTTTCTGTGGACTAATATACTGCCAGAGGCAAGAGGGGTTCATTGCAAGCTGAGAACAAGACCCCTAATATTACTGCATGCTCACATGATGTTGTTAACAATTCAAGTAAAAGTACTCATGCGTTGAGGTCTTCGCATTCAGTAGAAATAAATGAGTATTTAAGAATATGAGGAAAATAAAATGATACATTCAAGTTGTCAGTCTTTGCTTCTCTTCAACATAGATAGATTTCATGTGATTGTATGTAAGTGTATAGAGTGCGTATGTGTGCAAATTAGACGTCACCCTGCAGTCAGCCAATCAGAGCGACAGGCTGCGACCCAAACACGGAAGCAGTTGAAACTACTGCGAAGCAAAAGTATGTCTGTTTTCACATAAAGGACTGGAGGATTAAACGTTATTATTCATGTGAACATTTAAAACCACAGGTCAGATTGTCTGCTTGAGATGTATATCCCTTGGGTTCTCCTTGCTATTTTATGTGTTGTATGCGCTATCATTGGACACAACCAGGGTAAGTGGTTTCAATTTGATAAAGCTGATGTCTAAAACGATGGAGAGGCCTTTAAACTGTAGTGTAAATCCATGTTAGTACTGTACTTCTGCTGTTGCCAAAGAGTAACTGTTGCTATTTAGAGTAGCTTAAATTAGTTATATATATAGATATGATTCTCTTATCCACATAAAAGACAGGCAGTAAAACCACATGTTAAAGAAAGTGCGTGCTTGGAAGTTAAATATGAATACGTGGTAACGTTAGAATTCAATTAAAAGTAACGGCCACACCGTTCAAATGATATATACACTTTTCAAATGATTAGAAGTTAATGATGTTATATGATGTGTAATGTTGGCTCACAGCGCCCCCTCCTGGCTCTTCTACTGGTTATGTTTCTTGTGTAACACCGGCTCCTCTCCACACACAGCCATGCCGCCTCCGCTGCCCGCCGCCCTCGGTGTGTGCTCTCTGGCCGGCATGGCGCTCCTTTGGAGGGACGTCAGCTCCAAGATGAAGGGTGGGAAACGGTCATGGAGCAGTCTGCTGAGTCAGTATCTGGCGGTGAAGGGAGTGGGCTGGCTGGGCAGAAGGCAGAGAAAGACACTGGAAGCGGACACTCTGAATGTGAAGCGAGTGCAGGAGGAGACCCTGCTGCAGCGCCTGCGCAAAAACGAAAACACAAGTTATGGAAAACAGTACGACTTCAGCTCTATTAAAGGTATGAAATGATTAAGATAGTGTTAATGAACAGATGTGACATTGTGTTTTATTTATATAAGCAAATGTAAGTATTTTGTTAGACAACTATTTGTGTTTTACCTCCTTTGACTCTGATTTGTCCTCTGAGTGGCTCTGATGTAACATGTTTTGTGTATATGGCTATGGTCAGGCTGCACAGCAAGCACTAACCAAGATTGTAAAGCACAACTTCACCCCCCTTAACATATGTTTGACACTTTTACACACTGAAACCTTTTGATCATTTGATTAATATGAATGTAACAATGTAACTCTTTTTACATCAAATCAGTACAGACTACAGAGTAGACCATTGTCTCATTTGTATGCATATATTTTGCTTTCCACTTCTAAATGACAAACATTATGCATTGTCAAAACGCAATACAAATATTGTTGATCAGAAAAATAAAATGACATGTGCAGTTTATCCTTTGTCATTTCTCACCATGAAGGATGAGTAATGCAAGCTACTTCTCAAGCTTTGTAAAAGGTCAAACTTAATCTAAAAAAACAGCCTGTATAATATTGTAATGGCGTCAGCTGTTCAATACCAGAAAGAAAATCCTCAAATGTATGTGCAGGAGTAAAGGGCAATATTCAAAACTGTGTTTCTTCGACTTATAAAACGTATGTTCTAGATATTGATGTCTTCCGGTCACGCCACCCCATCACCACATACGAGCACTACCGTGAGCTAATCAGACGCATCGCAGCGGGAGAGGAGAAGCTGATCATTGCTGACAAGCCGCTGATCCTGGCCATGACCTCCGGGACGTCAGGAGCCAGCGCCATGCTGCTCAGCACCAAGGACACCAACTCTGAGTTCTTCCTGCAGGTGGAGCTTGATGATGATGATGATGATGTGTGTTGGCCCAGCTGTAGCTTATGATATGTTGTTGTGCATGTAAAACAAAACTGCTTTATTCTTTCTGTCAGGGAGTTGCTGTGTGTTTGGATGCCATGGCAAGAGCATTTCCTGCGACCGACAGCCTCCAACGCACCACCAAGTTCTTCTACTCCCCTACTTTTCGGCAGTCTGAAGCTGGTATTCCCATCGGACCAAACTCCTCCACACCAGCCTCTTCCCGCCACATGCTCAACCTCTACACCACCCCAGCACCTGCATTTGAGGTACATTTTACAAGAGGATCAGCATGAATCTCACTTCACTATCTTGTCAAGTAGGATTTACGTGTTATTTTTATTAAGTGCAGAATGTATTCATTTTTTCCATTTTAAACCGTTTTTAAGGTATTGTACTCTCCTTCCTTCCAGGTTCCCAGTGAGAAGGACACCCTCTACCTGCATCTCCTGTTTGCTCTGAAAGATCCCAGTGTGGGAACACTCGAGTCCAACTTTGCTTCCACAGTCTTCTACGCCTTCAGTGCTTTACAGGTACAACACCGTCTTTATTATAAGGACTGGAATGAAAGGAACATGTGTTATGAGTCCACTAATTGTTTGGATTAAATGTATACCACATGAATGCAGCTATGATAAAGCAAGCAGAACATTATTTGTGAATCCACCCTGTGGTTAAGTTTAACTCCTACAGGTAATAGGTTCTCCCATGGCCAATGCTACACCCTTCCTACACTTTTACTGTTGTTTTTTTATTTATCATAATGTCATTTTACGAGTCATTAAAAAGTAGAAACATATGGGAAATGTGCCCGAAAATAAGCTACTAAAGAAATATTACATCATCCAAAAGCAGCACTCTGTTTTTTTTATTTGGAGAAAAGTGCTGTATCCTTCATGCATGCCTGGACCGAGTCCCACCGGGACATTCTCTAGTTAAGTGGAAATAAATCAGGTGTCAGGCTCCCAGTGACCCAAAGAAAAGCTCAGGTAATTGCTCTGATGGCGAAAGGATTAAAAAGTCATTTCTATCCCATCTCCTGTGCGTCCCAAAGGACCGCTGGCAGGAGCTCGTGGAGGACATCGAGCGAGGGAAGGTCAGCAGCGCTCTGGCTCTGGAGCCCGCAGTGAGGTCCAGCCTGGAGGCTCTGATGAAGCCGGACCCAGAGAGGGCCGCCCAGCTCCGGGCCCTCTTCCAGGATGGCTTTCGTGGCATCGCCAAGCGGTTGTGGCCTCACCTCCACCTGGTGTTGGCAGTGGACTCAGGCTCCAACCAGATTTATGGGGAAATGTTGAGGGAGAACTACTGCCAGGGAGTTCCTTTCTATTCACCTTTCTACGCTGCTACTGAAGGTAGGAACCTGGGGAGGTATTACAGGAACTCTTTGTTATTTTTTAATTCTTTTTGTGTGTTTCAATCAGACAAATAGAGTTTATAAAGTTGTTTAGCTCGGCAAGATGAAAAAAGTGGCATTTGTTGCTAGCTAGCTGATTAAAACTGATAAGAAATGTTGAAATTAGTATTTAGAATTTCCTTACATGAAATAAAAAGGATGATATAAAATAAGATTGGATTCTTAAAGTTATTACATCTGCTCTAAATGTTATTCTGGTTAAGTCTCCAAAAGTCCTGATGTATTCAGTATAAAACTCATCTATAGCTACTAGTATTCACATTAATGTTATATATGGGCCCCTGCAGGACTAATAGGGGTGAACCTGTGGCCCCAGGAGCCAAACAGACGCTATCTGCTGTGTCCTCGCTCGATGTTCTGCGAGTTCCTGCCAGAGAGCGGCCTGGAGGAGGAGGCGCCTCACACCCTGCTGATGGAGGAGGTGACGGAGGGACAAAACTACGAGCTCATCATCACCAACGCTTCAGGGCTCTTCAGGTCAGGGTTTTATTTACAAGCAGAAAGGGATCAAATCATCAGGACAGAGTGCTCCATGGAAAATGATATGTTTATATCGTTTTTGGGGAAGTAAATCCCTATTTTACCGATTCTAGGTGTATTTGAATGCACTTGTTATTTGCACAAGTTATGGGCTACAAACGTGAGAAAGAAATATATTCAGTAATTGCTTCTTGCCATTGCTATTGTGATATGGTTTCACTTGACTGCACTCTCAAGAAAGATGAATATCAATGTCATATCAAGATGCGTGCTTACAGACAATTTGACATCCAATTTAATTTGGTCAGAACCACAACCAGCATTAGTCTCATTTGACAGCTGCATAAATGATACCCGATTTGTGCCTGCTTTGTTACAGATATCGTGTTGGAGACATTGTGAAAGTAGTTGGATTCCACAACCAGTGTCCCATTGTTGAGTTTCAATACAGGTACATTTTGTTCCTGTGCATATTTGTTTTCTTGTATCATCTCGTGCTGCATGTCTTCCTGTTTGATGGTTTGCTCGTGTGTTCAAATATATAACACAATCAAGTATTTCCTCCTTGCTTCCGTCCATCTTCTGTCAGACGGGGTCAGATGTTGAGCGTTCGAGGGGAGAAAGTGTCCGAGGCGTTGTTCCTTGATGCTCTGAAGAAAGCTGTTGCTCTGTGGCCTGGAGCTCAGCTGGTCGACTACTGCTGCGCTGAGAGTGGCATCATGGGTAAGACGTCTCACCTTCACCTCAAAGCCACAGCAGAATTTGGGATCTGCTAATAGTTTGGGGACTTTTTCATGTTCAGTTTGCATTAAAATGAATGCAATTCTTCTCTGTTGTGTTGTAGGAGATTCAATAGGAGGCTCAGATCCTCATTACCAGGTCTTTGTAGAGCTGAAAGGTGTGAGAAACCTCTCAGAGGAGCAAAGATACAGGGTGAGGCAAATCTAGCAAAAAGCATGTTTTTTCTTTCTCATGAAATAGATCCTAACTCTTTTGCCGTTCCTTCTCCTTCCCTCCAGTTGGACATCTGTCTCCAGCAGGACTCTGCTGTCTACAGGTCTTTCCGTAGCAAAGGCAGCATCGGATCAATGAGGGTGCAGCTGGTGGCTCAGGGTGCGTTCAAGGAACTCCGTGAGCACATGATGGCCTACTCCAACACCTCACCAAACACCTTCAAAATGCACCGAGTGCTGCGCAGGAAGGAATACGCAGACTTCCTCCTGGGAAAAACTGTTTCCTGAAAGCTCCTGTTCTTTTAAGGAAGAGACAAAACAGTGGACTCTGACTGTGGTGAGCGCTGACCGAATGAAATGGGATATTTGATCAACTTCTCATAAATGGGTTAGTTACTTGTGGAACTCTAACACAACATCGTTCATTTTTGAAAATGTGAATTTGACTCTATTTCTTGAATATTTCTATAATTATAAATAACGCCAACTGTAAGTTTTGTTGAATTAAATGTTTAAGGACCTGGTCTTGATCTATAAATATGACATAAATGTATATCTTACTATTGCCTTATCATTACAACGATGTTTTTTTATTTATAGAAAGGTGTTCTTTCTACATGTTCTAATGTTTCTTAGGACCACTAAAGAAAAAGTAAAATAACAGATTGTAAATTCTCCTCCTATCTTTTACAATACAAGCCTTTGAATTTCTGCCATCTGGTGTTATTGAATGTTGCGGCACCGACACATCCACATTGTCCCTTAAGTGCACTCACCTGTGAAGCAACAGTTATTTCTAAAAACTGATGCAGTAAAAATGGAGAAGGGCTGAAATGCAATGGAGAAAAACATCCTAAACCCTGTTGCCTATAAACCATCTGTTTGGATGTTTAGGCTGTGATCCGAAGTGACAAATCAAAGTGAGTGACTAAAAGTATTATTGGATTTATTAATCATTTTGTGCTTTATTTAGTAAATATGGACTCAAAAACAGTACATGGGCGTCTTTGTTGTCCCTTTTATTATCCTACTGATAAACAGAACTCACAGACTGGATGTGTTGGTAAGTAGATTAGTTAATAATGATTTACAATGTTTCATTATTTCTTTGTCAAACTGTTATTGAATCTCAGCATGCTCTGTCTTCTTAACTACCATATAAAGATAACCTGGCGCTGGCCTCCTGGAGTGAGCTCCCAGTTTCTCTTTGACTCCAGTGGGCCTTTCAAAAAGATGAGAAAATTAAGCGCAAATTCATTATAATGCAGATTGTCCCATGACAGCAAGCAGCAAACACAGGGTGGGCAGTTTCTGCACATACCTGACTTTTCTCTACTCGCAATACTTTCCATTGTCAGGGCTTTGTTGTCACCACTAGGGGGGAGTAGTACATACGGTATGTAAGACTTCTGCACTAGATGTTACTCATGCTGTTCACTACAGCTCCGTCCAAACATAATCAGTGAATTCTTTATGATAACTTTAACTGTTAATGCCTCCATCTTAAACAGAGAGGCCGATGAGATATTCTTATAATAGTGTCTCAAGCTTCATTATTTATTTGATTAAAATGTCAAACGTGTCAATGATGTCCCTCTTGTGGGTTTATATTTTCATTAATTTCAGCCGAGATTTGACAAATCAAAGTCAAATGAAAATAAGTAAATGTACGTGTAGGCTATGTGCTATGCTAGCTGTTCCCAGTCTTTTGGCTGAGCTAAGCTAACCTGTTGCAGGGTGCATATTTGTAACTATTGTTTCAAGGTTCACCATACAACTAAAAAAGAAACCTACATTAAAATAATGCTTCTCAAATCACATTGATATCAATATATACAAATAAATAAAGACTGTGAAATGTTTGAGTTTACAAAAGCTGTATTATAGTTGCGCCTGACTATACAGTAGTTCCAACGTACTGTAATACATCATGACAGCATACTGGAGTCAATAAAGCATAGTTTCAATTTACAGCAGGTTTATGTTTATTTATGACAGATTGTTGTCTATCATCCTCGTGCCTGGAGGATTTACACACCCACGCACATACATAAACAAACACAAACAAACACACAGAGCTCCTAAGCACATCTGCTCAGTCACCAGTTAATTCAATGTAAACAGCAGAGATTTGAGAATGACAGGCCTGGTTTCTCAATGGGTTTACTGGAGGACGGAGATGTATTTCATTTAGAGAAGGGATTTCACATGTTGAGTGAATGATGCCAGCTATAAAGCTTATTGATCCCACAGTCTGGATTATTATAGGGATTTTCCTGCAAATCTAAAAAAATATCTTCAGTTGGAGTAATTTTCGTAAATGTAGGCAAATAATTTACCCACATTTGCATTTGAAATAGAGGAACATTCGTCAAATGTAACCTCAAACAACTAAATGTGGGGAAATACCAGCAGTGCAGGCAGAGCTGAGGATTGTGGGAAATGTATTTGGGATAGTATTTCACTTGGCCGCCTGTGGGGTCACTCGGTCGCATTAGAATGTAGGTAGTGAGCATGTTTAATGTATTAGCCTCTCTATTGGCGACAAGCAGAGATGGATGAACTACAAGAGGAAAGGACAATGAGAAGCCATTAAAAATAGATAGCAGTGACGGGCTGCCAGGGCTTGAATAGGATCCGTGAAGGGAAAAATACTTTGTTACTGTCTAAGGGCCAGCCTTTTACTTTCACTGTTTTTTTCTCTCCTCTATTTTCTAAATGCAGCTCACCTTTGCTGCCAGCTGGACGGGTTGATTCTGCATTTTTAATCACCTTTTCTCTCCAACATTTTCTGACTGAAAGAATATTAATGATCATCAGCTCAGGAAATGATCTTCTCCTATGTTGTTGTTGCTGCTTTTTTGTTTCCGTTCACCACTTCATTTACCTTATTATTCTCATCTCAGAGATCTGCAAGTGCTGCCAAGACGGTCCATAAAGATCAAAACCAAACGTATTCTTCTCCCTACAGATTATAAACTTCATTTCTGGCTCGAGGAAACGCCCACACAGCGGCTGAATCTGCTCAACTTTTCACAGATTGCTCTTGAAACTTGTGTATATATATTTCAGTTTCTTTTCTCATACATTGTTGCTTACAATTTGCATAAAGCTACAGTTGATGCAGGGTCTAGGAGATATAATGTGAAGATTGTAATTCTTATTTATTGTTTTGTTTTTTTTGCAGATAGAGAGACTTAAAAATATCCAAGTTTCAAACTCATGATGTTACAGGTAGGTTATTTAATATCTTCCTAAACCATCACTTAAGACAGTCGTGTCATGCTAACTTTAAGAGTGAGGGTGCTGAAATAAATAAAAAACTCAAAATGATATATAGTTCTTGGTAGGGATTCTAGCTTCTGGAACAATCTATACTACCTGAGCGCCGTAGTTGGATCTATCCTCAGGCTTCACATAAATCACAGAGACCAAAATAGAAACACCTCGTTTTCAGAAAGACTCAGTCCATACTGAAAACTTTCCATAGTCCAATTTAAAATGAACACACTCAAATCAGTCTACTTCCTATTGGCCTAATATTCCTGCAAAAAGAAAACCTTGCAGACATTTAAATAACATCTAAACATCAACATGTGCTTTCACTTAACATAAGGACCATACTCACTTATCCAAAGAAGAGGACACGTCTACTTTAAAACGTCCCCTAATTATCAGGTTTCTTTTAGAATAATTAATATTTAATGACGGTTGAATCAATTAGTTTAATAGCGGGATCATCTTTCCCCTCATCACTAAAAAAATCGAATAAGGTTTCTGTTGACAATTTATTAATAATAACACAATATGATAAATATTTGTGTTACTTCACTATCTCGTGGTATTTTCCTCGTTGGCAGAGCTTTGTAAAAGTGAGTTAAGATGTGACTTTACTTTGGTGTGTCTAGTATCAAGTCGTCATGAAAAACATCTCCGGGCTTATCCTTTTAATCCGCTCTTAGCCGCTCTCATCCCAGAGCCTTAATTATTTCATGAGGATACTGTAAGGGCTGTGAGGGCAACAGTGACCAGCCCTCTCAAGCAGAGACAAAAAACAAACAACATTATTCTGAGATTGATATCATTTGGGATTCACTCCTCGTGCAGTTCTGTCACTTAGCAAAGTGTATATGCAGGTAAAAGAATGAACCTGAATATATCCTTTCCCTACACGCACACACACACACACACACACACACACACACACACACACACACACACACACACACACACACACACACACACACACACACACACACACACAAACCACCATTCCCCTCGAGTCGGACAAGACGAATCAACACAATAGCACACCGTCAAAGTGAACACAATAGCCTGCACTGAGCGACATGCAGGTAATCCATCTTTCCTTCTTTAGCAGACATGCACACAAAAGCCATGTGCTGATAGTAGCACCTTGGGGTGTAATGGTGCTGTCAGCTGCTCCGAAAGCATCCTCCCTCCCTCCCTCCCTCCCTCCCTCCCTCCCTCTCTCCTTTCCCTCCACTCCCTCAACTTGCTTTCACTCCTTCTCTCCCTCTCTCCTCTCTCTCTATCCCCCCCACCACAGATGAAAACAGGTCCTCATAGAGGATGCCATCATCTCATTGGCTGGGATATTACAGGAGTGGATGGTAGCCGGAGAAAGAGAGAGAGAGAAAGCTCAAGAAGATGCAACTACTGTGGCACAGCATCCTGACGGCACTGAGCTGAGGGGTGTCAGAGGTGTAGGAGCACGTGTTCTGTCATTTTTGTCTTGCAGATTTGTTCTCCCCTCCTTAAAGAAAGAAGCTGTGGACTTAAAGGATAACTTCCACCATGTTCCTGCAGGAATGAGCCCTTGGTTCTTGAAAGGTGCAGACAAGCAACAGCTGTGATCTGAAGCTCTCTGGATGTCAGCGTCACCTGGACTTGATCTCTCTTTGCTGACTGAGCAGCTGCTGGTGATTGCTACTGTTCTGTATTGTTGGAGTGAGCTATTTTAGTCCTCCTATACTGCACTGTTGTCTTTGGGAGAGGCATCGCTTGGAGGAAGGTGTGTGTGTGGGGGGGGGGGTCGCTTTTACTGTAAATGTGTGTCCCTGCAACCAGCGCCGAACTGTCACCCTCAAAGTGTCCTGCACCTGCTGAGAGCCCCTGGAAGCCCCCTGCCGTGCCTCTGGGATGGTGTGACCGCCAGCCAGATTTTGGCCGTCCCACGTCTGGGTCAAGATGCCAGTGATGAAGGGCCTCCTGGCCCCTCAGAACACCTTTCTGGACACCATCGCCACCCGCTTCGATGGCACCCGTGAGTACAAAGTGCAAAGTGCTTTGAGTTCAGAATCAGGATCATCAGAATTAGGTGCAAATTATGGAAATTGCAAATGAGAAACATATTAAGAAGAAACAAGTGCAGGGAAGAGTACACAGTAACATGTGTTATTTAAACATAACAGTAAAGTGTATATAACATGATAACAAACATGTACAATGTGTTTATTGCAAGGTATTCACTATATCCTTAAAGAAGAAAAGTAAATTGTTGTTTTGGCACTTTCAAAATTGGAGCTTTCTGGTTGCAAAGTGGTTTAAGTTGCTTCCCATGTAACTTCCTCTTCCCTGGTTGGAGTGTGGTGTGCAACCCTACCCTGTCATATTTCAGCTTACTGTATTTGGTTTGACCACATTAACTATATTTGGAATTAAAAAATCTGAAAGAAACAAAATGTCAGCAGGAGAGCCACAGGCAGATGAGACTGAATCTTGAGAGTGAATATGAGTGTGTGTTCTCGGATTGGTCCATGGGCCCTGTATCTAAACACCAACACATCAGCACTGCCTGACCAAAGGCCCGTCTGCAGGCAGTGGCAGTGCGATGTGGAGAAAAGTTTGTTGCGACTTTTACAGTCAGACACAGCAGCCGAAAATTGACCTTCAGAAATCATGTTGTCCTTTCACATTTGTTTCACACAGTGAGCTCCAGACTAGCCGCTGCAGCCATTAGGCAGCCAGTCAAGTCGAGCCTGACTCGTGTGTCTTGTTTTGTACCTTGTGCCACCTCAGGGGAGGTTGTGGCTCGTTGTAAACAAATACCGTGGGGATTTCTGTGTTTTGTTGTCGATTGAGCCTGAAAGAACGGCTGGTTGCAGACTCAGGGAAATAAACACAGTGAAATGGGGGACATTACTGTGTAATTGATGTGGGTGTGCAATTACAGCTTTGACTCGTGAGGCATTCTAATGAGGCGTTAGAGGATTTCTCAGGAGCTTAAAACATGTCTGTAGTTTGAAAAACAGATGAAGAGGTTTGTGTGTTTAGAAGATGTACATCAGATGTAGAGATGACGACAAAGTTCAGCCGTAGGATAACGGGTCGCGATCCCATGGTGCATCTGTCCTGCTGAGGGGTTCTTGAGCTAAACATGGACTCCCTGCCGAATCCTCAGGGCTGCTCTCTGGGTGGACGTCTCCCCTGACCTCCCAGTGGAAGGGGAGGAAAACCCTTCGCTTTGGGGCTGGATGTCTATTCTAATGGGCTACATCACCAAACAACAGAAGCTTTTCAGCTCTAAATAGGGCTTCAACTCATTTCCTTTTTGATGAATCTGCCACTTTTCTTTATAAATTAATAGATGAATTACTTTAAAATATGAGTAAATTGTAAAAAAATGTCATCTCTGTTTCTCAAAGTTAAAAATGTTTCATCCAAAAATCCTTGGTTATTCAAAAGAAAATTCAAGATATTCTTGAACATGATATAAGATAAAAGCAGCACTCTCCCCTGCGTGCTTGTGCATAAATAACCAGTTAATGGCCGAGATGAAAGTGTGTTTGTAGCAGCAGGATACAACTCCTTGCAACTACATGCCAGTGTGTGCCACTTCCAAGCCATTCACAAAGCCCACCATAAGGCTGTGGCTCCGTAAGTAGGGGCAGTGTGCCAACGGCTCAAAATAGCTTCTTCCTGTTGCCGGGGCGACACGGTCCCGCCACTTGACATGGATGATGCTTGAACACTTTGGTCTTTGAAAAAAGAGTGTCCGCTAAAGAGAACACACTTGAATTGGTTTCTAATCAAGGACTTTTAGAATCCAGCTGCTCTCTTGTTTAAGGAAGGCGCTTCTTAAACAAAGGGCATTGTGGGTCGTGCAGCTGCGATCACTTTTCTGGGTCACCTCAGACCGCCTTTAACCTGATTTAGAATAAGGTGGTTTTCCTCCTTGACTTTGAACAAACTCTGGCTCTATATACAGACATACACTTTTATTAGAGGCAGTATCTGTGTTTTGCTTCCTTTCCCTTTGCGATCCCATCAGAATGACTTCAGAGCCAATCATGGTCCACGTTTACACAAATGACTTTTTTTTAAAAAACTCATCATACACAAATATATTCCAAGAATCATTTTTTTGTCGTAAAAGATGACTGTAGGAACTTAATACTTTGTCTAATGTCTTAGTTTTAAACTGAAACGCCTCCAGATGCATATTTAAAGTGTTTCCAGTCCGACACACTGCAAAACCACAAAAGTAAATATCAAGAATTAAGTTAACCATATTCAAACTTAATAATACATATAGTGACATATTCATCCTGTTTGTTGGTTGAGAAATAAACCATCTCTGAGCACAATTACAACATTAAGATGTATCTGCATACACAAACAAACCATTTTCAGCTTCAAAATAAGTCAAACTTGATGCTTCTGCACACATTTTCAGCAATTGTATGCAACATTTGCAATTAATAGCATACATTATTCCCGTTAACAGATGTTACTGTCCATCATTCATTTTGACAAACACATGAGAAAAAGATCTGCAGTGTTAAATATTCAAAATAGGCTTGAAGTAGAGTTAAATACAATATGTATCACATCTTTGGCATTTCACTTAAAAACAATGAAAAGAGGGGTTTCAATAATTAAAACATAATGCCGATATCACTTTGAACCAATGTTTTTACATTAAATAGTTCAAATAAATAAAGCAGCTTTGAAATATGTAACATGATGCCTGTCTCATATATTTAGTCACATAGTCAAACGTTTTTTTTATCATCAGCTAAACAAAAAGAAACTGCTGACTTAGCAGACATTCACTTTATGTAATGTGTCATTCTTACATCGCCCTTGCCTAGACTGCCCTCTCTAATAAATATATGATGTATTTCAAACAATTGTGTATGTAAACATCATCATCCCATTATAATGTATTTAGCTATCCATATATTTACTCACATTGTGTCTCCATGCAAAACGAGACCACCCTTTGCCTTTATGAAAACTACTCTGTATGACAAATGATAGAGCATTTTACTTTGAATAGCCCTCCTAGCCATTATCTATCATTCAGCTTATATTTCAGATGTTAATGCCATCAGAGGTTTGCAGTTTCTTAACCTTAAATGTATTCTAATGGAACAGATTGAGAAAAACAACTGGTGTGTAGCACAGACCTCCCCACACTACAGGGCAAATGTCAGAACAGGTTAAGTCAGTAACCTTTGTCTCGTGGCAAAGTCAGCGTTCCTGTTCCCCAAAGATCTGCAGCTTTGCATTATAATGCTGATTCTATATGATGTCTCCATATGTTTGCGATTGATCCCTGAAGGGGAATTAACCGAGGTCAAGGGTCAGGGTCACTTCACAGAGCGGCACCTCTGCCTTCTGCAGGCTGATGTTTGTTGTCACGCAGGCGAAAAGAACTCGACCTTTGAGTTTCCTTCTTTCGTATGTGTGTGACAGCACACACGTCAGTCTTTTGCACTCATTCCCACCGCTCTCAGCTCCTTTACATGACCTCCCCGGCGGCGGTTTCCCGTTGACAGCAGCGCTCGCCATGTGGGGCGACCTAACCACAGGGCAGCTGCAGGCAGAGATAAGAACAGGGTTTATTTCCCCCCTGAACACTTTTCAGATATAAGGCGATGGGTGGATGAACTTAAGAGGAGATGTGTTAGAGTCAGAGTGAACCTTATGTGGCTCAATGTTACCCCTCTAATGAGTTGGTGGCGGCTGGAAATACCAGAAAACTGCTACATATGTAGTGGAAAGCTGAAGCTTCTTGTATTTAGTTTGCCATGTGACGAGTTAATCCCAATGTTTTGTTACATTTTCTAAGTTTCTACTACATTATCAGAGATGAAGAGCCTCCTAAATATGGTTGAGAAGGGGCCTGCTACCCAAATAATTAGATGAAGTACACATCTATATTTATGGTTCCCCACCAATCCAAATACAAGTAGGTTGTGTCCTCTAACATTTGTTCTTAGCTGTACATGTGTTGTGCATTAAACTAAAAGCGAGTTATAACTTAACTAAGCTCAACTAACGTCCGTTATCTATGTTGTTTTACGCTAACTTTATGTTACATTGTGTAAATGAAAGTGAAGTTTATTAAAACTGCAAGCCTTTCATAAAGTTGCTGGTGGAAGCTCCTCCACAATTCAACTGATAACAGCCGTTTAACGGGCTGATAAAATAACTGAAAGAAAGTAAAGCACTGTCAAGGATGATTTAAACCATAAAACAATGATATACTCTACTGACATAATAATTAATAATAATAATTCCTTACATTTATTATAGCGCTTTTTCAATGACTCAAAGCGCTTTACATATACACACATTATGGTGCAATGGTCAGATACTGTGGACAATACCCACAGGAGCAAGTTCAGGTGAAGTGTCTTGCCCAAGGACACAACGGCTTTACAGACGCAGCAGCGGCGGGTTTCACCCCTTGATCTGATGATCATTGCACAGCGCACTGCGCCACACCGTCCATCTTCACGCCTCGAGGTCATCGAGGCGCTTTTACAGGTACACATTGGTATTATACATGTACTGTGGACAATACCCACAGGAGCAAATCCGGGTGAAGTGTCTTGCCCAAGGACACAACGGCCTGACGCAGTGGCGGCAGGAGCGGGTTTCGAACTGGAGTTCCCCAGCACTCCCCCTTGATCTGATGATCGGATGCACAGACCACTGCGCCACCCGTCCCTTGACATGACTTGATAACAATTAAAAAGTAATATTTCTCCAAAACATTTAACAACAATATACGATAACAAAATGGGTGTTTACTTGCATACAACAGGAAAAGTATTTAGCTGGCATTGTCAAAGTCTGTAAATGGAGTTCATTCAGTTATCACTTATGGGTGGTTTGGTTACGGCCTCCTCCCAAATATATGTATTTGAGTAAGATCTAAATCTGCTCCTGATGTGCAGGTCTGCTCCTTACGTGGGACCTCCGCCTCCATCGGTGTGCGAATGTAGGTGTGAGTTGGTGTGAGTCTTTGTAATGCATGTTGCACCGTTCCCAGAATAAAGGCGCCACATGCCTGCAGTCCTTATAGCTTTTGTAGGATTCAACAGCACAGATACATTGGTTTGGAACAAGCTTTTAATAAAACTTTGCACTGAAGCTGTTGAAAAATACTCTTATTAATATCTAATTTCCAAATGAACCTCATTGATGATTTGATCAGACCTCTCTACCCAACCAGTGACCTTCTCATCTGCAAGGCCACCTTTCTTTGCACTCTCACCCATCCTCTCTAATAAGTCATTACATGCTGCTGGTTGCTAATGATCTGGCAAGGCAGTGGCCGGGCTTCATTTGTCTTTAATACACTGAGGAAATGGTGCAACATGAACATGATGCAGGCGGCTTGCAGTCAGCAGTAGCATGTAGCGTCATCATGTCAGATTACAGTTGCAGCGAGTCAGCACAGATGTGTAATTAAGGGAGCTGGCACAGCGGAGCGGCCACTCAAAGCAATAACCCTGAGAGGATTACAGCCTAAGAATTGAGGCATTGTCAACATCTCTCACACACACACACACACACACACACACACACACACACACACACACACACACACACAAATACGCCCACAGAAACGGTTTATTAAGTGGCGTTCAGTGCTTACTAAGTTACCACAGGAGAAATAAGTATGTGTTTGTAAAAGCCAAAGTGAAAGCCTGGAACGAGCTTTTTCTTTTCGAGGACCTCATCCAATTTTAAGGATATAAACTGACTCACTCACACGCATCAATTTCTTGAAGGAACTACACTTTCTGCGAATAATTTTTCCTTCTGAGGGTTAGATTTTGTTACTACCGTCATATTTGTACAGCAAATATGTAGCTGGAGCTGACAGCCTGTTAGCTTTGAAACAGCTAGCCGGGCTGTGTTTAAAGGTTACACAATCTGTCTTCGAGCAGTTCCAAATTCTCCTCACCTTTTGATATGATGCTATGTTTAATGCATCCAAAATCCAAAGCTTAAAAACAACAATATGCTGTTACAAGGCACGATTTTTCACATTTGTTTCTTGGAATCGGTGACTTCATGCACCCCCTAAAACTAGAATTGGTCTGGTAATCAAATGAGTTATGATGTGTCTTTGAGTGAGCTTTTAGTGGTGACATGCGAGCTGTTTCCAGTCTGCATGCTGACTGTAGTCTGTGGCTTCACATTGCCATGCAAACATGAATGTTATTTCTCTTCTTATCTAACATTTGGCAAGACAGCAAATACATGTTGAGCTATTTCTTTCATTGTATTCAACACAAACTACAAATCAATCCACCTTGATTTAAATGATTGTGAAGAAAGCCTGAGTTCGCTAAATTGAATGGAGCAGATCAACAACATTTATAACTTCAATGACTAATCTTATCCGCAGTGTGAAGCAGCACAGTTTCAATTCCTCGAAGCGCAGCATAAAAGTTGTTTTCCCGCTGGCGCTCGTTGGTTTTTAATACATCCTTACAAAGTGATTTATGACTGTACCCTGGCCCTTGACCTATTTTACAGACCGATTTAGGGATCCTAAGTAAAGATGAACCTATTCTTAGGTAAACATTACATAAACCTCTAACACCTGCTGGCTCTCAGATGGGGTGTTAGAAAGAGGACATATTGTATTAGGCTCTGCTAAAACATGGTGTTTAGCCACTGTTATAGGATCATTTGTTGAGGCGTTGATACATAGCTGAGCCATTCGTCTTAGGAGTTTTGAATTTGCATGCACAAACAACTATAAGAGTAAAAAAAACAACAGCTATTAATCGCTTTACATGAACCCCAGGATCCGCAGCGCACAGGGAACAGAAACATATCAGTTTCTCCATGTTGAAGTCTGTGGAACAGCAACTGTAGCAAGGCACAGAATAGACGTAAAGACCCCTCTGCCAGTTGATGGATCCAACTAATGCCTGTCTCTTCCTATAATTCCACACTGACAGTTTAGTTGCTGCTCACTGCACAACCAAGAAAGGTTGTCACTGCTCAGAAAATACATCCCCTATAGACTGCTTTCGGCTCAGCCTGGCCAATTAAAGTGCTAGATTGCGGAAGGCGCTGTAGCAGCTGCTTAACACCGCTCCTTCTTAGGCTCGCTCTCTGTGGAATCGGGAAGATTTCGACTACAAGTGCGCTGCCTTTCTGCTTTGCATACAGAAAATAGCGAGGTTGATGTTTTCAGTTAAGCAGTACAAAGATGTCAGAGACTGTGGAGCAAAGTGTAATGCCTCTGTGCTGACTTTTGCAAAGAATCAGCAAAATATTATGCACTCATTATTTCCTTAAATACATCCATAACCCTGATCCGTAGATTTGTACGTGTTAGGGGAGGGGGTTAATCCACTTGGTATATCCAGTTCAATCCAAGAGCTCTCTGTACCCCAGGAGGGATACGTGCTAATGTGTTTCATATACAGTATAGTCACGTTTCCTATTAGGATTACAAATGTGTCACACAAGGGACTCTGTAGATACAGTCTGAACAGCTCTTGAGAAGAAAAGTTGAACACCTAAACTAAAAAGGGTGAATATTTGTCTTAATTATCCACAATCTGTCACCAAAAGCAATGGCATACTGTAAGTGCAAACTTTACCAAACTAAGAAAAACTAACAATGATTTATTTGCTGTTGGCTTACTAGTGTTCAGCTGCTATTGTGTCTGCGCCATTAATCGCTATAATCCGTTGAAAATAATTTCCTTATTTATTTTAATAACGTTTTTGGCACCAGTTTGCTAAGCTGTATTCCCTTTGGAAGTGTATATCACTTTCTTCCACTTGTAGCTCGAGCATCTCTTCTAATTTTTTGATATACTTTATTAATCCCCGTGGGGAAATTGTTTCTCTGCATTTGACCCATCCTAGTGTTAGGAGCAGTGGGCTGCCATTTTGAACGGCGCCCGGGGAGCAGTGTAGGGAACGGTGCCTTGCTCAGGGACACCTCGGTAGCACTTGGTCTTGCCGGGACTTGAACTGGTGACCTTTCCAGTTGCCAAGCCAAGTCCCTATCGACTTCGCCACCACCGCCCAAACAACAACAAGGAGGCAACACTGCAGCAAGAAGCTGCTTCAGCTCGTTAAGGTCACATGCACCCAGCAAGCGAGGGAAAGTGTGAAGTCAAACTATACCTGTCACCAGGATTCACATATTTATAGATAGGCGCAAACAAACGCACCGCAGCCGGGAGTCACTGTGGCAGAGCAGGAACACAGCCGTACTGCTGCCGGAGAACTGTCCATGGTGCTGAAGCTCAGTGAGGAACAGTGAAGAAGCAGAGCGTAGAGTCCTTGGTGCTGAATGAACAGCACAGGTGGAGTGCAATATTCACATCATGTGATCCACATAATGGGAAACCCTGCACATCAGATGTCATATTCCACCATTTTAATTTGACATTTAGATATGTGGATCTGCTGGGTATCCGTCAGGTCATTGAGACACATTGCAATACTCCACCTAATATCCTCACCTTGAGATGCACAGGCGAAGAAACATACAACAAGAACAAGGGTGCAATATTCCAGTGCTTTATTGGGTTTATAATTAGATTCAATCCATCACAGGACCCGGATAAAGATTTCATATGAAGCCATTTTAATAACTCAAGTGAAGTCAATTAGCTTGAAATATATGTTTTTGTGTAATTATTTCAAAGCCATTCATAGACAACAATAATGAATTCTGAAGGGAATTGAACGTAATCGCATGATAAGCAGTTTCCGTTGTAACAGATGTGTACATCAAGACAAGATACTCCCTCTAGGGGGGAACTTTGGGATTTTAGTCTCTGCTGATGCAGATTTCAATTTTTTATCAAATAACTTCACGTTCCTCTATTATACAACCATTTGTTCCGGTTCCTATATGTGTTCCCATCAGCAAATCAAGTACGCCTAACACTGACCTTTGTGCACCTTTTAAACTCCAGCCAGCTGTTTTTGATTTCTGCTGCCCAGCACAGCACTCCCTTCAACCCTCGACATCAGTAAACCTGAAATCACACGATGACAGCTCTGGGGAATGAATTTAGCCCGACACTGAGTCCACACCAAAGTCTGATTCATGTTTACTTTGAACTGCTAAACTAGTATTGAACTAAACCTGGACCACTTTGACAAAAGTTCAAAGACCTTAAAAGACTTTGATTATAGTTCAACAAACTTCAGACGGAAGCAAGTTGCTCATCTGGTAAAGATTAGAGAAAGAAAAAGTGTCTCACCTTGGCCTCGACCTTCTTCTAACACCTTTTCATTTCCTTCTAACAGACAGTAATTTCCTGTTGGGTAACGCCCAGGGTCACCGCGGCTACCCCATCGTTTACTGCTCGGACGGCTTCTGTGAACTGACGGGCTTCACCAGAACTGAGGTGATGCAGAAGAACTGCAGCTGCCGCTTCCTGTACGGCATGGACACCTGCGAGCACGTGGCCCAGCAGATGGAGAAGGCTCTGGAGGGCCGAGAGGAGTACCAGGCCGAGGTCCACTTCTACAAGAAAAATGGTGGGTGCACGGCAAAGAAGATAGGGAGGAGAGAGCCCTAAATGTGTTGGCATAATCTTCATTTTCTTCAAAGATTGTTTGGCAATTAACATTCCTGTCATCTTGTGTTCAGTTGATTTGAACTGGATTCTGTCTGATTCTGCTGTAGCAGTTCATTGTGTGATTTCGTTTGTATTCATCTCTATGGAGAGCACATTTATTTTTAGATTTAACATTTTGGTTTTATTATGATTCCCCACAGGGATCCTGACTTTGAAATAAAGCATGTCAGCACTGGGATACCTTTTGCAGTTGGTGCTCATTAGTATTCACATAAAACCATAAGGTCAAGTGAAAATCCGCTTTTCTTATCCCTTCACATGAGGGCAAGAGGTCTGAAGGACTGAACTTGTGTGCCGGAACAAAACTCTTAAAGTCAGTCTTGATCTAATGTGTTTGTACAAGAACTGTCCTAGATTCAAACATATCATATAAGATACTAAAAGGTGAGATAATGATACAAAATAAAGTAAATACAAATCTAAACATGATTAACAGTTGAAACTTTGCTGTCAACAAGTACACATCAAAAAATACAGTCACGTGTAGGATTGAGCATGGGACACATTCATGAAAATAACATATGTTATATATTTCATTCACCATAGCACACACTTCCAATGCATCCTTAATATCACCATTTTGGGCAAATCGTGACGATTTAGGACATTTACAAGTGCCTAAACTTGTTTTTAAATCTTCTACACATTTGTCAATAGAGAGGCACACTTCCAGCAGATCTCAATCCAGTACCTCGCCCCAGTCATCGTTTTGTAGTGTAGAAAATACAAGGTACTGTACATACTGTATGTGTTTGTTTACCACTGTAGTTTAAATCCATTTCTTCTTAATCCTTCTGACAACCTGTATCAGACTCAAAATACGATGGCATGCATTTCAAAAGAACAAACAACACAGTTTAATCCTCTCTTATCGGCACACAGGATTCTCTTTCCAGACCTGCTGCCTCGAAGGGTGAGAACCGCTAATTATGCTGATGGATTACCAAATCTGCTCCGTAGTTGAAAATAGCCTTTTCTTTTCATTTTCTTCTTCTTCTTCTTTCACAGTACAGTAATGCAGTTACAGTAAGGCAGTGACAGTATAACTAATGAGGGGAAAGACACAATCATTTATTATATGCCCAAATAAAAAACATAATGCAGTTAAGACACAACACCATTTCCATTCTCATGCATTTCATTTTCTTCAGTACCGTATTACAAATCCTTATCTGTGAAATAACCAGTAACTAAAGCTGTCATTACAAAGCATTTGATTTCCCTCTGTGGAAGAGTAGAAGTAGACATTGCCATTAAAAGAAGATACTTGAGTAAAATAAAAGTACCTCAAATGTGTACAATACTTTAGTGAATGTACCTTTAGCGCCTAATGCTTGCAAGCACAACACACACACAAATAAGCTTTTCTCATGTTGTACAGTGTAGTTACACCCACAGACTTGAGCCAAGACACAACATAACTATTGTCTTCCTTGGCCACACACACACACACACACACACACACACACACACACACACACACACACACACACACACACACACACACACACACACACACACACACACACACACACACCACACACACACACACACACACACACACACACACACACACACACACACACACACACACACACACACACACACACACACACACACACACACACACACACACACACACACACACACACACACACTGGGGACAAGAGATGCGGAGCAGCGATTCTGCAGAGTAGCTAATGAGCTTTCTGGGTTACGACGAGGTCTTACATCTATGGCTCTCCTTCCCTGCCTGACTTGTTAAAACCAACCCTGTGACTTGCTCTTTCTCTCTGTGCACACTCCTCCTGAACATGATCCATATCTAATTGGAGGTCTATTTTTAGAAAGGCTATGGCTATACTTGACACACGTGAGAGCTGGCATGATGACATGGGATATCACAGCGCTTGGAGCCATCACTGAAGTCATTAAGAGATCGATAACATTACACTGCATGTTGACGATTTGCCTTCATTCAATAAATAGAGATTTTGTTCCAGGTGTGGCCTTCTGGTGTCTGCTTGACATCGTGCCCATAAAGAACGAAAAGGGCGAAATGGTTCTCTTCCTCTTCTCATTCAAGGACATCACGGACACCTATGGAAGGGCCCACCACAACTAGCAAGAAGGAAGGTAGGCTACTGGGTTTTTTACCAAAGAAAAGCATTTGCTTACTTGGAGCATGATTTACGAGCAGGTCATCCTCTGGTTCCCAGCTTTCTGTTTCTACCTGTGCTCTTGTTCATCACTGTCACATTCTGCCCAGCAGTTTGTGGTTGTGTTGGAATCCGTTCACTGAACTCAGACAATGTTTTCGCAATGGGAGTTTGATCCGGGGCTTCGATCTCCTCGAGTGGAACCTGGACACAGTCTGTTGCAAAAATCAAGCAGTATGCCGGGGGAAATCATCGTGAGAAAATGCAATCGAAAGGAAAGTCAAGCACCTACTGGTTGGAGGTGTTTTTGTGTCTTACTTGGGGAACTGCAACAGGGAGGAATATTCAGCCTAAAAAAAGACATGTAATTACTTTATGTTGATGAATATTCCTCAGGTGTTATTTGTCTTACTTACTGACATGCCCTGATCTTTTCTTATTCTTTATCATCTTTATAAGGATATATGAAACTTAAAAAAACTGAAAATACTGTCCCTTTAACAATGACAATCACAGTTGAAAAGTAGAACAAATTAAAAAATGGAACTATATCAATTCAATTAAAAATAAGAAGCAAAGAAAGATATTTAAAAAAAAAAGAAAAGGTGTCAGTCAGAGGAGAGACATTGGGGAGGGTTGAAAAAAGATTCAAATAGAATCATTAATTTGAGCAACTTTGTGACCGTTTCAGAGGACAAGAGGAGGAGGAAGAGCAGCTCTCACTTCAGGGAGGCCAGGAAGCGTGGACGCACCATGCTGACCCATCTGACCAGCCAGTTCTGCAGGGGAAGAAAAAGGGATGTCAAACTTGGGGGTGTAAGTACTTTTACTACTCTCAAATACTGCTGATTGGCTGCGACGGTATATTTCTGTGTGACACATGCTCTCTGGGATACCATGAAATGCACAACCCTAAATCTTGAAGTAAAATTAAGAATATTAATATTTAAGAGATGAGATCTAGGAAGGAAATATAAAATGTCTTGATCCAGATTCCCATCATCATCATCATCATCATCATCATCATCATCATCATCATCATCATCATCATCATCATCATTTTTTGGGAGAATTTCAACACCTCAAATTAGGAGCTACATGATGAATGTCATTGTCACCACCATGTTCCATTAAATTACATTTGCTGTTATGTCAAAATTAGGCCGCTGTATCTTCACATTATATATGTATTTAAGTAAGTTGTTGTTTAAGGATACAATGGACTCTTTCCTTATAGCTTTCAATCATATTCAGATAAGTGTGCTGTTTTGTGTTTCAAGTGCAGTTGTGTTTAAAGTACCTCAAGGGGCCATGTTGAGGTGAAATAGACCCTAGCTATCATCGGTTTCATTCCCACTTGTTATTTCTACAGAACAAAGGCCTTCATAGGCTGTGAATAATACAGTTGCACTCCAGGAAAATGTTATTCATGAGACTGAGCTCCTGGTTTGCTCTCAGATACCATACAGGAAAAGTTGTTTCAGGTAGAAAGAAAAAGGAGGTACTTCATATCTAACTTGGGAACATTTATGTTAGAATATCTACCATATGTTCCTGTTATTACAGGCCTGAAGGACACCACATTTAACTGTAGATATTTAAGCTATCGTGCTGACATGGTAAGTTGCTGCTTTCTCTCAGTTTTAAATGGTTGTTAAATGAAGAATTTGTGTTTTTGAATGTGTGTCAGACAAAAAACAAGCTATTTAAAAAGGTCATGTAAGGCTGATATCCATTTTTTTTACTGTTGTGTGAAATTGTATAGACCAAATGATTAAACGTTTAACCGAAAAAATTAGTAATTCAGATTTTTTTTAAAGCACCCAAATTAGAAAGCTTCTGTAAAGGCAGTGATAAATGCCCTCACATGAACCTGACCCGCATCCTGTTCACGAAACAAAAGCTCTGCTGCTGCTCTCTGTACCGACCTGCAGGTATCTTCATGGGAATCAACGTGCTAAACCTCCACTCAGTTTGCCAGACCTCCTGCTGACTTGCTTCCATTCTTACTTTTTTACAGATGGCACAGTTCACTGATATCATGCACACACCTGTTCTAATAGTCCAATCTCATGCACCAACAAAACTGAACACATAAAACCCTCAACAATCAGAGATAATGTGTTCTACCACTAGGTACATTAACATTTTAAAGTGTTTAGTCATTCACACAGATGTTATTTGTGAATTCTCTAAAGAAGCCAAACAATCAGAATTGTACATAAAAATCACATTGTAGGTAGGAGAAAATGAGCACGCACATCATGAACCAGATTCAGCATTTTAGTTTGAACATACCTTTTTTTCTTTTAACTCATAACATTTTTTCAATTCCATGCTGAAGAAAATAACCAGCGCCTAATTCATTTCTATCCCTAGGGAGGGACTAGGGAGGGAAAGTAACATACAGTTAGACTATGAATAGTTCATAAAAAGCCTGTGATGATGGTGCATATTATAAATGCAGGCAAACTGTGTGTTTTTGGATACAAAACAAAAACATCTACTGGTTAGAATACAAATTAGATCTATTTCTATAAGGTGTTGTTTTGTTTTTCTGGGTATTTGACAGCTACAGTGTCTTGTGAATCTATCAGGGATCTTGGAAAATATGTGTTCAGACCTGCCAACAGTGTTAAACAGATACAATGCATCTTGAATGAGAATGAAACTCAAAGCAATAATGACATGCAATAGACTCAAACTCCAGACTCCCACTTTGTATTACTCACAATTTGACTAGATTGTCTCTTCATGCACCCCTCAGATGTTACTGTTCAATTCATAAAATCGCCTACTCATAAAGCATAATGTCATAATATCAATTCTGAATGAAGTTTCTGATGAATGTCGAAAATATTAGGAAGGCATGAACGCCCTAAAACATATTATTTTTTCCCCCTTATAGCACTTATCTTCATATTAAAATTCACCATCATAAAAGTCTTAAAATATAATTGTATAGCCTACCAATCATATCTGGAAATCGCAATGTTGTACAATTTAGGACAGGAATAATTTATAAAGCAATAAATAATATTCTTCACAGCAACATTGCAACCATGTTCTCATCTTTATTTTAACTTGTGTGGTAAATGTTTGCAATGATTTGGCTATAGATCTCAAAGCAAACTAAATAAATCAGGATTTAGAGATTAATAAACACTATGAATTAAAGTGACAAGCAGGTTTTATGTGATTGTAGCCAAGCCTTCAATATCTGATCAACACTGTGTGGATATTTGTATTGTAAAATATTGAAAACTGTATATTTTGGGGGGAATTTATGTATAAAAACGATATATTTAGTTTTGCACTCGAGTTATGGAGAATGGGAAATAAATATGCAGAGGTGGGAAAACTAAGTACACTGTAGGCTACTACTTACATTTTACATATTTTCTACCGTTTGAGTGGTAACATACACTGCGGGTAACCACGGAAACGGCACTTAAATTTAACGTAGCAAGTAGCAAGTTTAGCTAACAACCGGTTTGGAAAAAACTAACTTAATAATAACGCTAAATTGAACTAAAAATACTAAGAAAAGATAAACAAACCTGGAACAAACATGGAATATTATCAGAATTTGGTTAGGGTGAGTAGCACGAGTTAATAGCCTACTACTTTCTCAAGAATAACTGACAAACACATCCCAGGGTCTATTTGTTTGGTTTATGTGTCAAATAATCGGCATTCATAGAGTTATTTATATTTGGTAATCGAGTTTGTCTTAGTTGTTTTCTGAGTCTCTACCTCTCATCGTTCTTTACCCTACAGAGGTGGAAAAAGTAGAAGTACCAGTACCAGTACGTAGAAAAGTATTAACATTAAAATATACTTTAAGTACCAAAAGTAAAAGTACTCATTATGCAGATTAGCCCATATTAGATTAATATATATATTTGTAATGTTTTATTATAAATATTGATGCATTAGACTCTAATGCATCAATACTTTCTCAATGGGAGAAGTGACATTTTTTGTTTTGAACAAGAGCAGTGATTTTTGGCTCGTGAAGAGTGCTGTCAGTCAGGGAGCGGCGAGTGCTACTTTTTATTGAGTTCATGTGTGAAAAGCTTGATTCACATACATGCTGATCCAAACATACTGAGCACACAGATAGCTACTTTCTGAACGTTAGGGAACTGCTGTTTGTTAACGTCACTCCAAAACTTCGCTGGCCCGTTAGTGCGCTGCTCTTGTGCCATGGTTACGGATGACTGCATGTCAATAAGTTCCAGTGTAGATTTCCCCTCGTCGATGGAAGGGACCACCTCCTTTGCTTTGGTGGATAAGGTCCCCCTCTATTGCAACAGTGAAGGGGTCTCTGGCAAAGCCCAGTCCAATCGACCGGCAAAGTTCTCTTTCAACCTCGCAATGAAATCTGTCATCACATTCGTGATTTGTGCCGGGGATGTGATGTGTTTGGGGAGCATCTGAAAATGCAGCATCCGACCCGTGCTCAAGTCGGTCGCGAAAAGGTACAGCTTGACTTGGAATGCGCGCATCTGCTCCACAAGATCAATGACCGTTGTGTCTCTGTTTACGCTTCAGAGTTGAGAGAGACATGTTTTAGAGTTGCTATCATAGGACCACCGTTACTAGCACCACTAGATGCACTTTTAAAAAAAAACGCACTGCGTTGTGGTTTGGTGGTTTCTAGGCAACGCGGAGTGTCGCATTCATGGTCTGTACTAGTGTAGGAATTTGGCCGTGGGAGGCTGGGCCACTCCGGAGTTGGTTCTGGTCCGCATCTGGTGTAACTAAAGTCTTATTTAAGTGATGATATTTCACATTATTAATCCAAATCTGCAAAGTAACTAAAGGTATTAAATAAATGTAGTAGCGTAAAAGTATAATATTTACCTTTGAATTGTAGTGGGGTTAAGTACGAAGTAACAAAACATTGAAGTTCTCAAGTGAAGTACAAGTACATCAACATTGTAGTTAAGTACAGTACTTGAGTAAATCTACTTATTTACTACCACTGGTGGCCTATGGTTCCCCCTGCATTTAGCTTTCTTTGTATTTGCTGCTTTCGCACGTTTTCTCTCCCTCTCCATCTGTCACTCTAACGTCATCTCATTTCGGCTTCATCCCTCTGGATTGTCTGTCACTCTGTGAAGCCACCCATTTTCCTCTGCTTCTGAATTACCCCTCCCTTTCGCTCTTGCTTTCCCACTACAGCTCAAATATTGAAGGGCTGCCTCTCCACTCCTTCTAATTTTTAAAGTGGAATTTGAAAATGGGTTGCTTGTCCTCAACAGGAACACTTTCATTGTCCACACTTAGATTACAATCTAGAGGGAAATACTGTTCAATTTGTATATAAAATACATAAAACATTTTAAAATATGATACTCAAAAAGTAAATGACCTGGCAACATATATATATATATATATATATATATACAATATTGAACATAATGCTTTCACAATCCATATTTGGTTTTAAAAAGTTCATAGACTCTGTTCTCTCTTTTGTAAGGGGACCTTGACTGAAAAAAACATCCTGTTTAGAAAATATAGCATGAAGAAAATAACGCTGACACTGACATTTCTTCTGCAAAATCAGTGTTTCTACTGGATATTCAGGGCATTCATTTGATATAGAGTTTTGCTTTGTTAAGTTAAGCAAGGGTCAAACATACTTACTCCACTACTGCCTTCTATGCCTATATTTCTCCCATTCTTTTTTACTCATTCTTACTCTGTCTCTCCCTCTATATTTTTCTGACTTTGTCCATCTGTCTGTCTTTCTGTCTGCCTCTCAGTAGAAGTTAGCTATCTTCCTCTGCCTCCACAGCACGGCCAGTCACATCTCCTCTAATCTCTATTTGTAGCCATCATCCTACCAGGCAGGGAAGAAAAGGGGGGAGCTATACTATTTCCTTCCTGAAAAACACATGCATCTTCAGATTAAAGCCTTAAAGACAAAACATAGAGGTGGCAAGTGACTGCTTAAAGTCTATCTAAAGTACTGAGATAAAAATACTCAAATGCAAATCCATAAACTGATTTCAAAAGTACATTTTGTGTAGCACATTTTCAAAATGTAGAAGAAAGCAAAATCATGAATTGGACCGTATACCACACACTGCGTTGCCTCTTCAAAACATGTTCAGCTTGAGCTTTTCTTTGCCTGAAGACAAACACTGAGTTGTTGTTGTTGTGTCTGTTCTGGCCGTTATGATGCTGTCAACCCATGAGTGTATCGGCTACTACAGTATAACCAGGCACGCTGTTCATTGTAGGCACTTCCCAGGGGAGAGCCACAATTCTTTTCACTTTAATGCACTTGTCAAAAAAGTCTAATCTGGAGGCATTTTAAAGTTTTGATTAAAATACTTATTTGGTTGACTGTGAAATACAGAGCTCACATTCACATCTTACTTTCCCTCAGTTTATATTTTTTTCTTCTTTTTATTTTTGCCCTCTAAACACTCACGCACACACACTTTCAGACAGCAAATGTGTATCTTTAGTTGCTTGCTGTTAGGCAATTTATTGATTGTTGAAACTGCAGATCTTAATGCCAAGAGTAGTAGGTGTAGTGATTCTAAAATCAAATAATAAGTACCGAGCAAAGCAAGGAGTCAATTGAGAGAGGTTGACTGCAGTTTGTATTGTTCTGCACTCCCGCTGCATTGTTGAAAGTTATTATTTTGTGGTATAAAAATATTGGCTGAGCATCCTCTGCAATAGATTCTTGCTTGAGGGAGTGCTTGAGACACATGGTGCGCCGTGTGTATCCTCTTTCCCATCATAAACAGGCTTTTATCAGTGCTGGAGCCCAGAGCATGCTGGGACTTGTAGTTGGAACAGTAAGCTCTTAGCCACATTGTGAGTTAATGAAGAGCAGACCAGCTGTGGCTGTGTGAGATGCATGTCCCCAAAGTGCTGGGCTTTTCTTTTCTAATCATTGGGACGTGACGCCCTTGGGTGCCGAAGGTCAGTTGGCCTCTGACCTCTTGTGTTGTATGGCAAATGAAAATAAACAGTCCAGCTTTTGCTGACAATGCTTGACCTATCATAAGTTAGCCATCATATGCCACTGCTGTTGATGACAGCTCTCTGCTATTTTTCACTGGGAATACATTGAGTGTCCCGTGTCAAGCAGCCATAATTAATACAGCTTTAAAAGTTATTTAGCTGGGAACATCATTGAACTTTAAGATTTGGTTTAAATATCTCCCGGTATTTTTTTTCTAAGAATAATACAAGAAAAAGTTGTACATCCTTCCCCAATAGAAAGGACTGCTGCAGGGATGACGTACTTTTAGGGCTAAACCGGCATTTAACCCATAGCATTGGTTACCTCAACAAAAATTACGACATAAATGCAATTAACTGAAGTAAAAAGCTACATTAGGCTATACACAAACTTCACACCATCGCTTCTGTTCTTAGGTTATTAGGTGTCATTTCATTTAACACGATTATCTTTTCTACAAAAATATGTTCTCATACCATGATACATTAATTGATCTACAAGTAAGAAAGTTTTAGATGGAATAGTTTGCAAGAGTGCAAGTTCAAACACCGCTGTAAAAGCAGACTTCTCATGAGGATGTTTCATTTCCCTGACCACCTTTGTAGTCTGATTAGGCCACATCTCATGAGAAATGCATAAAAAGAAAATGGTTGACTTTGAGAACATGGAGGGCAAAATTGTTAACTCATATTTCTGGTTTTAGGACTCATTCCTGCAGCACTCTGTTGCTATAAAATAGTCAGTCTATTCTCTCCAAGTTAGCTTCACAGCCCTTATAATGAAATCTCTTGTTGCGACTTTATTACCCAACCTCCTTGATGCTTGCCACCACCTGTTTCTGAAGGGGCCGCAGTGTTTTAGGATAGATTACTCATTTAACTCTCCTTTCTGTTCCCCTCTCACCACTGTCAAATCTAATTGCTTCTCCTCCTGTCTCCTAAACATAGTTAAGGCTATTATGTGCCGAGTGCAAGGCTCCATTTGGAGAACTGCGCTCTCATTATGCATCGAATGGATTCCCCACCTCATCAGCAAGAGCAATTCAAGCTTCCTGCAATTGGATTTTCTCAATAAAAAGTAAATGAGTGGAATGAATAAGCATGACTTTTCGAAATAAACGCTGCTGACGGCAATTGTACCGTACCGCCGGACACTTAAAGCACTAATGGCATTTGGAGGGACGAATTTAAGCCAAGGCCAAGTCATGTATGAGAGTATAAGGCGTCATTGTTGGTAATGAATTTCCCCCTCACTGACCACAGGCCTATATCTGCCATTTGGTGTTATTACTGCACAGCCATTTAAAAGGTTTATCACTGTCTATAAGGAGGCTGTCAAGAATAGATAACTAAGCAGCATAGCCATTTCAGTTTCACTTGAGTTGCATATGGTATTAAATTATTAGCGGTCAGGGCACAATAGACAGCATTGACATTTATATCAACTGTTTCTGCTAAATCTTGGCGAGGCAAACTCAAATCTGAATAATATGTATTTACACAGCTCTGCCCATAACCATCTTTTCATTAAGTGATGCAGCTTCTCTAATGTGTTGCAGGTGTTTTTTGTATATATATACATAAGCTTGAAATATAAGAGGCTATTTGTTGTGTTCAACTTAATGACTGTGTATGTATTCTTACCTAGGTATTTTCTCACTTTTACAGAGCATGATTGAAAAGCCTTCAATACCGGAGTATAAGGTGGCGGCCGTGAAGAAGTCACGCTTCATTCTGCTCCACTACAGCGTGTCCAAGGCGCTGTGGGACTGGCTCATTCTGCTGGCCACCTTCTATGTGGCTGTCACCGTGCCCTACAACGTCAGCTTCACACCGTACGATGACACCGTCACAGCCGGGCGCTCCACCATCCCCAGCGACATTGTAGTGGAAATGCTCTTTATTATAGGTTAGTGATGAAAAGAAGACACGGCTCCATGATTTTTACCTGAAGTCATTGCTCTGTGGATCAACCAATTTCATCCATACATCTTGATGGTCATGTTTGGTCAAATCAATGCATGTGGAACTATACTTGATACGAAGAATCACAAGAGCATTCTGGTGCTTTTCAAAAACATATATGATGACATGACATTTTCATTAGGTATCTGTCCATTTTCTTTTCTCTCTTGCCACCTACGGCAACAGGGTATCCAAGAGCCACAGAGGCATCCTTTTCCCCTGAAAGTACCCCATTTCCTAGTTCTAATCAACCTGGTTTTGTATTCCCTTAGGAATTTCCTTCCACTCTCCGAGGAATTCCTAGTTTGTAATGCCTTTTATTGTCCAAAGGGATGCACCCAAGAATTCAGGTGGCTGAACCTCAACATGTTCCCTTTAGTGTATGAGAAAATGTCCGAGTCTCTCAGCATGGCACGAGGAGAGACGCCATCAGCCAAGCTAGGGAGGAACTTTTTTCAACTTTGTTTCTGCAAGCTCAATATATTATATCACTTTCCAGACTTTTATTTGATTGTAATTTGGCTTCCAAAGACATGTCATTGATAGATTGCATGTAAAAGAAGCACAAAAAAAAGCATGCTAGCCAAAAGGATTCAGGGAAATTTGAATTTGAAATTAAACATTTTGGCATAAACATCTTACCTTCTTGTAGATTTTCATAACTGAGAGGTGAATTGAGTGATGAGCCAACTTCTCCGCAAACATGCACAGCTTGCATCACAGATGAGTTTTCCTACATCAGACCACACAGCCAGAGGTCTGCTTGTTATGTGCTCGCCACATTCTGACACTAAGATGAAGATGACCTGTCTCTCCGTGATTTGTATGTTCATATTCAAGCTGTTCTATATTTGCGTGCATATTCCTCTCATCTCAAATCATTTATTGTTGTCATTATAACAAACCTTTTCTCACTGTTAACAAGCAGTCAGTCTATACCATCTTTTAATCGCTGGGGAAACAAAATAACCTTTTTGTTTTATTTGCAGACATTATCCTGAACTTCCGCACCACCTATGTGAGCCAGTCAGGGCAGGTGGTGGTTGAGGCGCGCTCCATTTGGATCCATTACGCCACCAGCTGGTTCTTTGTGGACCTGTTGGCTGCCCTGCCCTTTGACCTGCTGTATGCCTTTAACATCACCGTGGTGAGTGCACTCTCCCTAAATAGCGCATTTTATACAAGATAAGCACATTTGTTTGAGCAAAGTAAATCACTGCTTATCCAAGCTGTGATATTCAGCTGTGTTTTTGTAGTCAAAGTGTGTTTCCAGATATAACATGGCTTCACTTCCTCTTTCCTTTTCTCCCTCACAATGTCCCCCACTTCTCCTCTTTAGACCTCCCTTGTCCACCTGCTTAAAACAGTTCGCCTGCTACGCCTGCTTCGTCTGCTTCAGAAGCTCGACCGCTATTCCCAGTACAGCGCCATGGTGCTGACCCTACTCATGTCTGTGTTTGCCCTGCTGGCACACTGGATGGCCTGCATCTGGTACATGATTGGACGCTGGGAGATAACGACCAATGATACCAGGGAAATAGGTGAGTCTGATTGGGGCCTTGCTGATGTATGAAGGTCAGGTTGGAGGTTTTATGCAGCAAAGGTGGGGGAATCATGCATTGTTTCTCGGTAAAGGATACATTTAGAAATTGTTTCACATTCTTTTACTTTTTAAAAAACTTTTTAATTTGAATTTTTAATTTAACATTTATAATTGAACTATTCATATCTTAGACGGCACTGTAACTTTTATTCATGTATTTTTTCTTTTAATGTTTATTTTATTATCTTTTCTTTTTAATGACTGATTTTAAATGCCATTTTCTTAATGTCTTTCATTTTTTGTAAAGCACTTTGAATTGCCTTGTGTTGAAAAGTGCTATATAAATAAACTTGCCTTGCCTTGCCTTAAGCACAGTGCTGACAATCTCTCTTTTTGTTAGTCAGTTAAATTCTCTGTATAAAAGGAAAAATCCAATAATTAAGAAAATAGATTAGATTTAGTTGTGTCCCAAATGGATCCCTTAACTGGTTGTGAAGCCCTGCTCAGTGGTGATATATTTGCGAATACCTGACTCTGACACTCTAATGAGGGCCGTGGGTACGCAGATCAAATCCTGATACAAAAAAGCAACTGGTAGAGAAAACCTAAAAACTTGACTTGGTTTTTCTAGTCTAGGAATTATCTCTAGGATATCTGAACACTTCTCTCAACATATTATTATTTACATAATTGCCTGCATTAGTACAAAGCTTTTTTTTGTATGTCCAAATTGACTACAAACTTGTTTAATTCTACAGTTTAACCGCCATTTATTATTTTTAAACAAACATAAACGACAACACACATACTGTGACAGTCTACAGCAAAATAAAATACAAATAAATACGATTCAACATCAAGCCTAATTTGCCGTTTCCATTAGTGTCACTATATGTGGTACATTTCTGACAGTTTGTTCCATCTATACAGTAGCAGGGTTAGCGCACACCTGCTAACACTATGTCTTCTTAACCCTGCAAGACCTGGTCTAACTCGACCCTGTCCCTCACCAAAATGCCAGTTCCTGACACTGCAGACATCTCTTTCTGACACACAAACACAAACACACACTGCTGTCTGTCCAAGACCAGGTAATTCCGCACCATCCTGACACTACCATCTGTCTCAGAGCCGACACGCAGACACAATGCTAACATGACCTTTTGACACTGTTCGCTCCTGCTCTGCCTTCTCCTTCAAGGGTGGCTTCATGAGCTGGGTAAACGGCTGGATACGCCTTACATCAACAGCACGGTGGGCGGCCCGACAGTGCGCAGCTCCTACATCGCCGCCCTTTATTTCACCCTCAGCAGTCTGACCAGTGTGGGCTTCGGCAATGTCTGTGCCAACACCGATGCTGAGAAGATCTTCTCCATCTGCACCATGCTCATTGGCGGTATGTCTGACGCCACGGTTCATTCTCCCTCTGGTGTCTTGGCATAACAGTGCCTCTGTGTGGCACGCCAGCATTAGTGATTCACCAGGAAGTGGGATGGAGGGATTGGCTGGCCTTTAAAACACAGCTTGTAGCCATCTTTATAAACCAATAAACAGATTATTTTAGCTGAGGTGGCAATTATTGGTGCAACAATCCGGAAGGTAATTATGCTTTGTTCACAGACTGCTTGTTAAAACAGAGATAAATGCAGCTATCAATTTCTGAGCTCCCCGTGAGAATCAAAAGACAAATAAACAGTAACAAGTGTGAGATTTGTTTTGTTATCAATAGAAATTGAGATTCATATTTTAAAGCAGGAAATGTAACCCTTGAAAATGTATAGAAACACATTTCAACCCATTATATTGTGCTAAAAGAACAGCTTTCAGAATAGAATTTAGATTCCCTATGAACAAATATCCTAACGTTATATCATTATTACTAAGGGCTTGTCTATTCTCTCCCTCACACAGCACTGATGCATGCCCTGGTTTTCGGTAACGTGACGGCCATCATCCAGCGCATGTACTCCCGGCGCTCTCTCTACCACACACGCATGAACGACCTGAAGGACTTCATCCGTGTCCACCGTTTGCCCCAGCAGATCAAGCAGCGCATGTTGGAGTACTTCCAGACCACGTGGTCGGTCAACAATGGTATAGATGTCAACATGGTAGGAGTCCCTTACATTGTTGTTGTCATCTAACACTTTAGGACATGGTGCTTTCTGCCCTCTTGAAACTCCGAGGCGATGTTTAGATAGTAATTGAGCCCTGAAATCTGAAATCAGAACCCTTTGCACCTGCAATTATTCCTGATCTTTCCTAACACATGGCTGCCCAGCCCCATACACAACCAATTGACATCCTATTGAAATTCATAAGAGGGTAACTGGTGGCAACACAGTCCACTCCCTAATTACCATTGAGTGTCACACCTCATTACATCTGTCACACTTCCCCAGCTCCTGCATGACTTCCCTGATGAGCTGCGGGCCGACATCGCCATGCATCTGAATAAGGACATCCTCCAGCTGCCGGTCTTTCAGGGGGCCAGTCGTGGCTGCCTGCGCTCGCTCTCCCTCCATATAAAAACGTCCTTCTGCGTCCCTGGCGAGTACCTCATCCGTCACGGTGACGCGCTGCATGCCAACTACTTTGTCTGCTCCGGGTCCCTGGAGGTGCTGAAAGACCACATGGTGCTGGCGTTAATAGGTTCGTATTTGGGCTTTTTTGACATCATGTTTTTGTATAAGAGCACAATCGTGATAATGTATTTTTTTTTTATTTCAGTAAAAGGGAACCTCTTTGGTTCTGACCTGCCTGGACCAGACCAGGTGATCAAGACCAACGCCGATGTGAAGGCGTTGACCTACTGCGACCTGCAGTATATCAACGTGCGCGGTCTGAGAGAGGTGCTGGAACTGTATCCGGAGTACGCCAGTGTGTTCACATCCAACATCCACAACAACCTCACTTATAACCTTCGTGAGGGCAGCCAGGATGAGGTACTGAAAACAAACTCACACACAGATATCTGGCGTTGGTTAAAAGTAGTTGGGGTTCAAATTGGGGCAGAATTGTAAAGCCGTCACTGGCAAAGAACACCGTTTTTCAAGTGTGCTTAACTCTGAGTATTACGCACATGTTTAAGCACACAGAAAATGTAGATGAAAATAGCGGTAGTACTTGGGGAAGTCAGAAATTCTAAGTGTCTTTTAATGATATTGTGGTCAAGAAACTAGAAACTATTTGTTCAACTTCTACAATGGATGTCAGCCTGCATGATAGTTCAACATTGGTTCAAAAGAGTCAAAAATGTGCACTTTGATTCTAGAGTGCTAACACCAAAAGATCATGTTTGTGTGTAAGACAACTTTTTCTTGCTAAAAAAATTGACCCAGACACAAACCTTTTCCCCCTACATTCGTCTGATAGAATAGAGCCCACAACACACACTACAACACATTTGTTCCCCCCCCCCCCCAGGTGTGTTTGTCACTCTCCTTGACACTTGTTCTACCACAACAACCAAAGGGCTGTTGGTGGCTTGATTGTCAGACCAATTTCTATGCATGGGTGCTACTGTCAGGCGGCCGTATCTCTTCCATGTTGCCACCCCAAAGCCCAGCAGGATGACATTACACCCAGACACTGACCTCTTCTCAATGCTGCTGCCCCTCACAGTTATTTAAGAAAGCATTACGCAAGGAAAGACAATCCTCCTAACGTGCAGAAAAATGCACCCGTCGAACTTACACATGTAGCGCATGTTGTCGGACATTGTTAAATGATGTGTCTCAAGTAAGTAAGTCTTAAACCCCCCAAAATAACAGCTTAAATCATTATAAAGACATTGCATAAACATAAATGGCTGTCCTTCATGGCGTTTTTTCTAACTGTCTGAAAAAAACAAATTAATTCAGACTAATCTTACCTACAAAACTGCACATTCTCCCCAAAGCAATTTACCAATCTCATTCTCATTTCACTGTCTCAGGCATTTTATACTTTCAAGCACTTCCCTTGGCTCCGACAGGCCTTTCTCTTTGTCTGATGGTTTGGTTGCTCATTAGTTCATTCATTTTGTTTTTTGTTTGTTTGCTTTGGAATATTAGAACAGGGAAACTATGCTGGCTGCAATAATTTACTGGATTTATTGTTGCCAGCTAGCCTAAGTGAATCAGCTTCAACTGCAATGATGATATTTTCTAAAACACAAAGATTATTTTTTAGGTGTTTAATTCCAAAAAGAGACATCATAGATAACATTTAGCCTCTTCCACAATCCATGCATAATGGATTGTTATTGGAGAAAAATGACCTTCTTCTCAGAAACTCCTCCTCTGTGTATGCATGCCCTATATGTACATATATGATTAGAGTTATGATAGTCTTTAATTGTGATTCAAGCAGGTTTCTTTGTGGTTTTGCTGAGTACTGGCTCTCTACTTGTATCTCACCCCCCCCCCTGACAGGATGAAGGAGTGCTCAGCTGCCTGGTGGAGCTGCCAGGTGCCATAGACTCCTCACACACACACACACACACACACACACACACACACACACACACACACACACACACACACACACACACACACACACACACACACACACACACACACACACACACACACACACACACACACACACACACACACACACACACACACACACACACACATACACACACACCACACACACACACACACACACACACACACACACACACTCTCTCTCATATATATACAGTCTTGCTGGCCTTATCCTTATTTGAATGGGTGGCTGTTGTAGGATGGGAGGTTATTTTACACTTGAGAGATACTTATAAGAATTGTATGCTGACTGTACAGCAATCAGTCATTTGTAGTGAAACCTAACAGATGGTGGGCATGCCAATTACAGTAAAAGGTATCCCTCTTTATCTTGTCATTTTAACTTTTACTGCAGTGGTGTCCATTTAATTTCGATTTAATGTTTTTTTTGTTAGAGAACAATAACATCTTACAGCTGTGACGACCCCTGCTTTACTCTGTCCTGTTGTGTGTCTATGGCCCTTTAAAGATCTCCCTTCCTCCCTATCTGCGCTGATTGAGGGCACCTGGCCGCCGGTACCGGAGGAGTGAAAGGCTCGAGCCAGAGTCTCGTTCGCTCTCTCTGCTGGAGGATCTGCTTTTGAGAGCAGCTACCAGACTTATGCTTTTCCCCCCCCTTCCTCTTAGTTTGGCATGCAACACCTTGCACCACACCATGTTCACACACCGACACCTACACTACTGAGTGATCTTACTGATTAACACATCCCATTGTGGTAGCTCTTTTGTTTAGTTGTTTTCTTTATAATAAATACTTTCCTTATATCGTGTCCGTTCCACGTTTTTGTTATGGCCAAGAGCCAGGCCATGACACAGCTTCTTTCACTTCGTTAAATGCAGACAGAGACAAATACTTGTTTGTGTTTTCTTTTTAACATCGGACCAACATTTACAGTTGACTTTCAAGTTTGTCTTTTATGATTTAAACTGTAGGAATCAAATATGTTAAAATTGTTTGATTACCAACACTCTAATAGTTCAAAGATTTTTTTTTTCAAACGTGGCTATAATTTAAATGTATCATAATCATATTTGTTAGAAAGGTCAGGTCCCATTTGGCTTTTGGAGCTTTCCGGTGAGTTTCAGCTGATTGATTGGCTGTGGGGTGCAACTCTGATGTTTGGCTTTACTCCCACTGCTCTCATAGAGTTGTTTTTGCTGCAGCCAGTGAAAAATCATTACAAACAATGAACACCTGTTGTACCTGCTCAGCACCAATGGGCATACCAACACAGTTAGCCTCTAGCTATTTGAAATGATATGTCAATGTCAAATATGTTTTTGTTTCCCTTTAGTACCTTAAAAAACTTGCTGCAGGATTAAGGTCAGGTAAAATGATTGGGAATGCAAATTCTACCAAATTCGACTATTGTTTATTTCTTAAGGGGGTGTGAGTTTTGAGAGAAAAGGGGGGACTGTGCTGTCCTGAGCAGAGTGGGAAGGTCATTCCACCTCCAGGGGACCAGCACTGAGTCCAGATATGCCAGAGTATAAGGACCGTGTCGCCACAGGGAGAGTTAAGTTGTCGGTAGACTTGGAGTGTGAAGAACAAGCTGGCCGGTCAGGAGTTAAAGGGAAGTAACCCCCTGTGGAGCCTCACATGACAACGACAGCTTAACAAAGTTGATAAAGACAGCCACTGGAAACCATGTGGTGGGAGAGAGAATGTTTTCTTTAAAGCTAGAGAAATGTTGATGACACGTTGGAGTGGATAGGACAGGACTGAAGGAGCTCAGAGAAGATTTGACAAAAAAGGTTTTATTCGACATTTTCAATTCATGCTTTCAGTAGAATAGATCAACAATGTTTGTAATAAACCCAGTTTAACTCAGAATGGATGAATAAACACTCTCAGCTGTGGTTCTTATTTCCATTGTGTTTTTAAAACATCACATTTTCCAAAATTATCCGCCAACACGATTTCCAGATATTTAGTGAGATTGACTCATCTTCTAACCATAACACCTGGTTGTATACCATATGCAGATTTTCCCTCTTGTGTTTTGGATTTGAAAAGTGGCCCATCATGCAAAACACTGACACACTCTCTATGTCTGTAAAAGGTTTTGTAAGTATGTCAAGACAGCACACTTAAAAGTGACAGAAAACCTTCCCTCAATGAAGTCTCTGCAAACCCACTTTGATATGTAGGACACTTGTGGCATCTGCGCCCCATTAAGTGATATTGATGTTCTTTAATTTGGCACCAATATCTCTGGCTTGCTAATCAGTCCGTGTTGCCCCAGGGTTAGTTTTTCGTTATGAGGGGAATTAGTCCCTGCCTTGAATAGACTCACATATGTGTCCTCTCTTCCTCTCACATAGTAACACTATCTGTGGAGATGCAATCCAACAGCTGGAATTATGTTTTCCTTTTAACCGTCTTGATGATTTTTAAACTCAGTATTGTTCTCGATGAAGGATTACATTTAATGTGTTTCCTTTGTGAATTGCCGTTCTGCATCAAGGAGCATTACTGGCACTATTTCACTAGTAGAGCGATAGACTGTGGCTTGTGTTGTCACATTAAGCCCTGTTGTCAGAAGCACATATTTTTCACACATGAAGGAAGACTATTACATTACCACAGTTTCATTTCCCATCCAGCTGGCAATTTTTCTAAATTGCTTACAATTTAGCCAGCAGAAAGACAAACCTTCACTGGGATGTTTCTGCATTCGAGTTTAGAGAGTGTGAAGCAAAGGCTTTATCACTGGCCAAGGTCATTTAGAATGACACATTTGAATTGAATGCATTTTAAAAATGGCCAGACATCAGCTAAATTAATAATATGGTCCCTGTGGAGTCTTTGACCTCTACTTTCTTTATGGAGCTCCCAATGGCATCCCACTATTTCACTGATCAACAGGTGGTGGTAACATGGCAAGATATATTCCGCGTTAATTAAAGTTATCTTTCAGAATGTATTATAAGGAATAACACTGAATGTTTGTAATGTGTTGCTGATCACTGGAAGTAGACTTGGAGGTCAAAAACAGATGTCTCAAACAATGGCTCCGTATTGATTTGTATTATATTTAGGTGATGGTTCAGCCCTCAGTCTACATGACTTCTGTATGCTTATAAGTAAACTCCAAAAGGCACCATTAATTCCCAAATGTGTAAATACATTTAAATTCAAGTTAAAGGTTTGTTACGGAAGTTATTTGAAAAATAAGTTTTGATTCAAGATTATCTTTTGTAATCCTTCTCGCTTTCTTTTTGTTACTGCAGGGTCTCAGCAGGTTTTCACGGTCTCCCAGGCTTCACCACGTGAGTTCAAATTAAGTTTTCTTCTCTCAGGGCTCTCATTATTCTTTTTAGCACCACACACGGTTTCCTGAACATAGTTGTAAGTTATAATACTTTCCAAAGCCTGTTCATGACTTCTTTGAAAGTAGACCCCAATGCAATTGTCTTTAAAGGTGCATTTGTGTCAAATCAATTCCAGAGTTTTTGCGTTTCTGTTTTTTTAAGGTAAAACTCCTGTGTTTTCAGGGGACTTATATATATTGCTTGTGAGTGCTGCTGGGGGAGGGTTTGTGCTAGGACTTCCCCTACAGGTTGAACCCCATTTAAAAGTAGAGTGGCTTAGTCCCTGGAGCTAGCTAACTGGGTCAGTATATCTCTCCTGATGGAAAACCTTATGAGCTACTTTTCTCACCATGCATGTACTGTACAGTATGCTTATCTCCAGCCTTATTCTTCCACTATTAAAACACTGTTTACAGAATTCACTGTGTCTGCATTAAAAGTTTATGTAAGTTAATAGTTTTTTACTCACAAGCAGAATTATGTAATGAAAATATGATCAGCTCTATCCCATTGATATCTCATATCTCATATTAACAGTTACTTATAATTAGAATTAGAATTCTAAGATACTTAGAATTTGTATCTTTAGTTGTATTTATCTTTAATCTTGTGTGAATCTGTGCTGTCCTGTTTTTCAATCTCATCCTGTTGCTGTTTAAACTATTGAATTTCCCCACTGGGATTAATAAAGGTCCATTTTATCTTATCTTAAAATCTAAATAACACAATAATCAGCAGCTTTCAAATGTAATATTTCAGTGTCACCATATATAATCATCACCATCCTTCAAAATAAAACAGGCAGATTTAGGATAAATGCACACCTTGGTAGTAAACATTTCAATAAAAAGGGTCCAGTTATTACAGTATGTCACATTTGTATTGACTGTTTTAGCAGGAATCCAGGCTCCCCTCTATCGTGGAGACAAAGGGGGATGACCCTGACGACTTCCCCTCTCTCTCCGGCTACCCGCTCCCGCCGAAACCTCCTGCTGCCGAGCTTCAGCGGCCCTGTTCGCCGCACCTCTCTGGGGAACCTCCTGGGGGACGAGTTGCGGCAGTTTAACACTCTGCGACGCTGCCGTTCCCCCAACTTGAGTCGTGCCGTGCACGGACAGAGCTCGTCCCCCCAGCTGCCGTCCAAAAAAGAGCACAACTCCTCCCCTAAATCCTCCACAGCCTCAACTTCAGCTCAGGTAGCGACGGGGGCCGAGCAAAAGCCTTCAAAGCTGCTCATCCCAACCGTTACCTGCTTTGGACCCCCTGAACTCAGTCCCAGGTATTGTGCAAATGAAATAAAATAAAAAAGACAAGCAGAAAACAAGCCAAAATGAAATATATTGGATATATTGAAATATTTGAACACCCATTCATTCATCGTAATGCAATACAATGCAATATAGGAACAACATTCATCCTTAGTGCTATCTATCCTTAACTAAAATATCTTGTTTACGTTGGCATCACGCTGTTTTCGCTCAGCTTACATTGCGCTTTTTTTTAACCCTAACCCTACCTTATGTGCAATCAACCATGAGGAAACTAATTTAGAACAGCAGGAGTCGTGCAAGTAAATTAGCTTTAAATAAGCCATATTATTTGAAGTGCTACACACATTTTTGTAAGAGCCATTTTCAATTATATTTGTTATCATTTCCCCCCTTTAAGAAATAACATAACAATGTAGGAACTAACCTGCCTGTGCCATCGACATCATCCAACTAGACTACATATCTATGATGGTCTTTGACGGATTAAAGTAAGGCGTCGCAGTAACAGACACCTAAAGTCGTGCCACAGGTACTTGAATTATCCACTTAATGTAAATGGGGTGTATTTGCATTGCATATTTCAGCAGATGTCACTGCATTTCATTACCAGAGCACCTTATCCTCTTGCCCCAACCATCTGTATTCATAATGTATCCCTGAGTCATCCAGTAAGTCCGAGATATGGGTGCGTGCTGGTTCAGAGAGCTCGGGTATCCGCCCCTCCAGACCGGGCTCTCCTCCTCATGTTCAAACCCTCATGGGCCCCTGCCAGCAGCAGATCTCATGGCCCAATCCTGTGCCCTCTGATAGCTCTGATGATAATTGAAAAAGCTCTACTGTTACATTAACTCCAGCTTCTCCTCCCTGCCAGGCTCGTAGACGGTATCGAAGACAACGGACACGCATTCCACTTCAACGTGGAGCACAGCGGGCCCAGAGCCAGCACGGGAGGCAGCACCCAAGGTAAGCAGAGCCCGCCTCCAGCTGCGAGGGTCACCCGGGTGCCAGATGGCTGGAGGTAAACTCAAGAGGTCAAACTGTGGATCCAATAATGTTCCCCACGTCCTTCTGGGGGAAATATGAGAGGGCAGGGGGAATTAAATGACAGCCATGTGTCCAAAGAGTCAGAGAACATGTAAAAGGACAACAGGGGTCAAAGCAGCGTACAGAGTGTGACCCGAGCTCTTACTGATGATTGCTATCGTTCTGGGATTACTATCACATTCAGTTCAGTGGAAGTCCAACACATTTACTTGAAGAATATTCAACTGTATGCATGCAGTATATACTCAGTCCACCTCTTTTTGTTTTACCCAGACTCCACACAGGCTAATGCCGTTCTGCTGCTGGAGACAGAGGATGTCCGACACAGCATCAGTCAACTCAACCAAAAGGTAAGGTACAGCCCCTTCACCTAAAGCAGTGGTTCTCAAAGTGGGGGGCGCGCCCCCCCAGGGGGGCACAGAGGCATGACAGGGAGAGAGACCAGGAGGAAAAATGGTTATTAAAAAAAAAAAAGAAGATATTTTGAAAAATTATTGATTCGAAAATAATATGATACTATTACGTCTGGGTCTCTGTGTTTCATTAAAGCTCGGCTCTGTGTGTGTGTGTGTGGAACGAGCCATTTTGTGTGCACGAGAGAGAGAGAGAGAGAGAGAGAGAGAGAGAGAGAGAGAGAGAGA